TCCTGCACCAGAGCACACAATTACGAAACAGTTGTCCCAATTCTATTCGTCCCTTTTTCAACTCTGCACTCAATGACTTGAGAATTCCTTTGTACCAGTGGGTTCCGTCATAGAATTATTTTTATTAACCTATACAAAACATATTTTGGAGACCACATAGGCTAACTGTCCCACACAGGGGTTTATCTGGACCTACCCAGAGGACGATATTTGGCCTCATTTATATACCGTATTTGACGTAATAAGCGCCCAGGGAGCTCTCAAAATTAGAAATAGGGGGCTCTTATTAGAAAATTATTTTGGTGAAAAAAAGAGTTGAAAGACAAATTTTCGTGGTTTATGCTGACAGCCTGAAGTGTTTATGTACGACAGATATATTTTTCCAGGATTTAATTGCCCATAATTAAGGGTTCATATAATACATGAGTGCGTATTATATGCGAATAAATAAGTCTTGTGCACATTGATCAATCAGAAGGGGTGCTAATTGGGATTGTTCACCAGCCAATATATTAGCAAATGTCGCCGTGGGCGCCTATTACAGGCTATTAGAGTGGGGCGCTTATTACGTCGAATACAGTATTTATAATATTTGGATATTTAGACTTGTACTTAACTGAACACGAGAAAGGGTTTTTAATGCTTTAGTCATTACAGTTTTTTACTTGAATGCAAATAAAAAATAATAAAAAATAGAGTAATAACTTTTTTCTCCAAGTTTGAACAAATTAAAGATTTTCTGCCATTCTGCCTGCCAAGGGCACTTAGTTTGGAATCCTAGGCCAATCTCTGCCTGCTATAGGTCTGGAAGCAGATGAAGGATACATTTATCATGGCATTTTATAACATCCCTGTTGACACAGCTGCCATGGATATACATTTAGAACCTCGAGGCCAGCAGACAGGAAAGATGCAGAAAAAAACAACAACCCCAAATAGCATCACTGGAAACTGGACAAGGTGAGGCAGGCATCGGAGCATGATTAACGTCAGACGGTGTACCTACAGGAAACATGGACGGGAAACTCAGACATATGTCGAGTACGTTTTCTGAGAGTTATTGAACAGGCTGGAAACATCAACCAACGTGAGCAGCAACATCACCAGTCAAGGTGGATTCAAACAACAGACTAAACCAACAACAGACTAAACCAACAACAGTGTTCCTCGGGACAGGAGAGACAAGGAAGATGAGTAAAATCAACAATGGCTGCTCCGAGTGAAGTGGAAGGTGTCCCAGCGGTTCGTTTTGTTTGATTCATTGTAGCAGACGTGCCAACCCCAATGGAGGCAATAACTTGGATATTTGGGATCTAAGATAAGTAATTTTCAATAAGAATACGTGATCAGAATAAGCACAATCATCTGTAAGGTTTTGAAGAAAATATACCTTTTGCAATGCATTTATCAATTTAACTCCTCAAAATCTTAAACCTTCCAATCACAAACAAGTGATTCAAGGGCAGACAACCCTGTCATATCCAACTCGTCTGGAGCTCATTTCGGTTCATTGTACGGGTTCGGGATCGGTTAAGGTTCATGCAAAATATTTCAATTTTGGTTGAACATAGTCCCTCTGGATTTCCACCTGTCTCGAACTAACAAACTAGTGTCTAACCCTGTGATTATGTACCCAGCTGGCTGGCTGTTTTCTGACTTCAGACACTAGATCTATGCCTGAACAGACCAGTTGGATTCAGATCTGTGGCATATTGTGTATCTATGGAATTGTTAGAACAACAAGCATGGTGAGGCCACACATTTTTTAGTTTATGTTTCACAGATTTATTCCAGCTTTTCCACACAAGGTCGGTCAAAATAAAAATAGATAACGATGCCAATCATTTTTTTTTTTTTATGAAAGTCATTTTGTCGAGTTAAAACTGCAGCTGGCTTCTTAAATCACTGATAGTGATGTAGACATGGAATTGATGAATAACATTTAATAAGAGGGTCTATACTACTAGTGGGAAGACATAATAAAAATAAATATTTGTATGTTTCATTTATTTCTTTTCCAGCTGCTTTTCAGAAGGGGTGGTGGGTAAAATACAATTGCGTGGCCTAAGTAACATTTGAGGAGACACATTTTGTATCAATGTCACCACATTAGGGGCTGACCATTTGATATTCTGGGTGGGGTGGCTGGGATTCTATCTGAAAAAAAATAAAACGTCGCAGAAAATACTTGAAAAATATGAAATGGTCTCTCCACAAACACCCAACACAACAAGACAGGATAGGTTGCCATTGTGCTGATATACGCAGATGACAAACAGGACATATGACAAACAAACGGACAACACTGAGGGAATTTCAGTTTCTGAAATACAAACATTTTAACATTTCCTTATGATAGATTGTTTGATGATATATCCTACAAAGAAGTCAAGGGAATCGCTTCATGAAGAAATCATAACTTTGATAGACTTAAATGTTTTAGGTATTTTTGAAACAGGGTCTGTATGCATGGTATGAGATACAATCATTTTCCTGAAAAGACTCCTGACCACAACATCTCGGCAACCTCACTGCTACTGGATCTCACAGACAAGAGTGAGTGAACATTGTTTATGTCACAGTCAGCCAGTATTTGAAATAATTTTAAAACCCAACAAGACAGTCGGGCAGGTGACCCAAAAGTGTCCATCTTCAAAGTTACCTGCCCGCATTCAGACATCATAAATATTGAAAAATAGCGAAAAATAAGAGACGAATCCAACTTGATTCAGATGAAATAATGCAAACAATTACTTGAGAATCTACAAGGATTGAAAATAAAACAGAATAAGTAGTTTATCTGCCTGAGAGTCAGGCAGGTGGAGGAAAATGTCATGCAGCCAGAAAAGTTACCAGCCACGGGCGACAGTTATTTTGACGCTGCAGTCGGCAATATTCCAACAATACCACAGTGGCTGTACAATTATCAAACTAAGGCCACACAAACCAGTGACTGATCGCATGAGCATTGATCTGCCAGGCTAAGTTGACATGCTTTCAGCAAGGTTAGCCATTGTATCCATCCAATCAACACTTCATATGACAAGTAGATGCTACTGGGAACTGCTCTGACGTGGATTCACACTTCAGTCAAACAGTTTGACCATCTGGTTCACACTTCCGTTGGATGATACGACAAGCAGAGGTCACCGGGCCCTTATTCTGACCCATGTTTGCGACATCCAATCCACACTTCAGCTGGCTCATGTAACAAGCGAAGGTCACTGGGGACCAATCCTGACACAGAATCCCCAAGGATAGAGACATCGAATCCACACTTCAGCTGGCTCATGTAACAAGCGAAGGTCACTGGGGACCGATCCTGACACAGTATCCCCAGGAATAGAGACATCCAATCCACACTTCAGCTGGCTAATGTAACAAGTGAAGGTCACTGGGGACCAATCCTGACACAGAATCCCCAGGGATAGAGACATCCAATCCACACTTCAGCTGGCTCATGTAACAAGCGAAGGTCACTGAGGACGTATCCTGACACAGAATCCCCAGGGATAGAGACATCCAATCCACACTTCAGCTGGCTCATGTAACAAACGAAGGTCACTGAGGTCCGATCCTGACACAGAATCCCTAGGGAGACAGTCTAGACAAGGCTCACAAGACTAAAGAGGACTGTCAGTGAGAATACCAAGCATGGCTACACACACATAAAACACTACACCCCCTACCAGTGGGTACTGGTAGAAAACAGACTAAATCTGCCGTCTGCTCACAAACATGGTGAGGAGGTAAACAGCAGAGGAAGCCGGCCGACATCCCTGGACACAGGTGAATGACTGTCTGGTATGTGTGGCTGGTCACATGGAGATGTCATACACAAAATCTCCTTGTCAATGAAGATGGATGTATCAGGAAGGAAGACTCATGTCTGTTATTGGATCTGATCTACAGGTTAAAAACAGCATTAGAACTGTTCATAATGGAGCATCCATTTGATTTCTATGGGGAAGGAGGAGGAAAATACCCAAACCTGAAAATTTGTGTGTGTTAATAGTGAAAATGAATAGATTGTTTGATGGTGCTCAGTAAATATATATAGTAGGACACAGCTGTGAACAAAGTTACGGAAGCCTTTTAGGGCCATTTGTTTCGTTACTTTTTTCTTTAAATTTACAAGATACAAAGTTGAAATTTCAAAATACTAAGTTGAAATTTCAAGATATTAACTTGAAATTTCAACTAAGTATCTTGAAATTTCAAGAAAAAAACACACAAAAACAAGCTCCGTACAAAACGGCTTGTTCTCAATATAGATTTCCCACCAACCACATACAATTTAAATACATGCTACCTTAGTACACTTGGACTAAAAAACATTATTCCAGTAGTCCTCTGAAATAGGGAAAAAATAAATTGTGTTTTAACATTTACATAATTTGGATCATAATTACAATGATAATAGCAACCTGTTGCATAGTTTTTTTTTAGGAATTCATAACCATGCATGACACCAGCAAAGTACACCAGCTGAACAAACACATGCACGAGCTGGAAACTAATTAACCTAATCCCGCATGAACAATATTTCGGATGACTAAAACCGTACATGTTGTATAGAACTGTTCATCTCACTCATTTGTACAATAACACACAGGAATTCATTTTCAAAATTGATCAAACCTAAAACAACAGAATCCTTTTCCCAACAGTCACGAGGAAGACCCCCCTCCCCGTGAACTGGGTCACCAGTACACCAACCAGGTATACATACACACCTGTGAGTCCCCCTCTCATTAACACGTTCCTACCCCTACAAACAAACCATTGCTCATCCACACCAACAGCATACAAACAAAAAGCTAAACTCCCACCTGTTTCGATCCTCCTTGTCCCATTTTGTTCCACTTATTAAGGGAATCCTTCGCCTTGTGTCAAGCAACACTTGAGTGGAAAGAGTAGCAGACCTAGCTTGACCCCTGAGCTCACCCCAGTGTCTCTCCAGGCAGGGAAGATGGAATGTAAGTCTCTGACGTGTTGACTCAAACAGATTATGCTGAATATCATGTACAACTCAAATCCCCAGAGTAGGCCGATGTCAGGCCAGTCCAGTGGCTGGTCAACCAGGTGGGGTGGACGGCTGGAATGCTGTGTCCAGTTACAGTTCTGGGTGCAGTGTGACTTTCTTCCAAGAAATGTAAGTAATTCTGTTCTTCTACACAATATCACACTCTCTCAAAAAATCCAATTTTCCAGGGTCCATGCTTGAACTCTTTGAAAACGTTATTCCTCACAACTCTGGTGTAAAAACAGGTGGTAAGTTCTGTTTTACTCACACTACACTCTTGATACAAAGAACAACAAGTCCTGATTTCCGTGGTTCCGATCCCGTGTTGAAAATACTATTTCTCCTAACTCAAATGTAGACTTACAAAACTGACAGTGAGTGTCCCACTGACATCCCTCACAGAAACAATAGTATGTGTGTCTGCACTCAGTTTGTGAAGTCGGAAAAAGTTCAGGAACAATTTCCTGTTTTCAGCTAGTTAAGCCAGTTAAACTCCGGCTAAAGTAGAAATATCCTTCTCACTGCCCCAATTTTCTTATAATCACCTTTGAATGTGGGATATTGCATGTGACAAAAGTCACATCCCTATTCGGCACACTGCAGCTCCGCCATAATCCAAAGGAAAAGTGCACGCATTTTCATTTTTGTCTGTCAACACGTTTGAGTCTTAAAATATACACTCCTTAATGTCATGATCACGTAGCAGTGGTTCAAATGAGAAACACCATTAACACACACATTGACATCAGTTCCTGAATAGTTCCAGCTATGGTGGGGAGTAGTTAGTATGTCCTGTTGTAAAACTTGTGACAATTATTTACGAACATGTAATTACGATGGACACCTTGTCAATAGGTGGTGATAAATCTCTAATTGGTTTACTTTTACAGTTCTCCTTCCGGTTCATTAACACCACACTTCAACACACAGAACCTACTAGAACCACAATTACTGAACCATAAATTAAGAGTTTACAATTCAGAGATTCAGCTCAAAGGATCATATTTTGATCAATGATTATGATCACAGTTCAAGTAGGAGTTACAAGGTCTGGTGTAATTTTTCACGAATAACCTCCTATGTCTACAGATAAGAATATAAAGACATATCTCAGCACATAATTCAGAATCAAAGATGCATGAAATTTGTTTTCAAAGAGTTTCTAGTTAGTGCGATTTTGATTATCAGTGAGGGACCTTTAAAAACCTCTATGTGGACATTCACCAAATAAGTATCCAAACTATCACTAAACCTTGTTTAAGTGACTCACATTCAGAACAGAAACTACATAAAGTATCAATTTCCTTCAGCATCATAACCACAGTTATGAGACAATCCCCTGTATGTCCATGGAGGTACAGACAATCCCTGTACGCCCACTTGTGTCCAGTGACATACAAACAATCAACACTTTGTCCACTTGTGTCCAGTGACATACAAACAATCAACACTTTGTCCACTTGTGTCCAGTGACATACAAACAATCAACACTTTGTCCACTTGTGTCCAGTGACATACAGACGATCAACACTTTGTCCACTTGTGTCCAGTGACATACAGACGATCAACACTTTGTCCACTTGTGTCCAGTGACATAGAGACAATCAACACTTTGTCCACTTGTGTCAAAGGTTGTACTGACGATCAGCTTTATGCCTACTTATGTCCAGATCATCTACTCGTCAGCTAAACTGCAGTAACTCAAGATGGATTGAGTGGACGCAGTGATACCTCAAGTAGGACACCGTCCACCAAAGGAGTTGACAGGCAATTCACTTATGTCATCGCTATTTACTTCCCCCCCCCCCGTGTCAATTGTAACAGTCAGCACTTCTTGACACTTGCTCGAACACACAAAGTTAGTGTAGCAGAACTGTTTGGGAAAGAAATGGTGATCATTCAAACAACAGTGCGCGACTGATCGAGATAACTTGACTATATATTTCCAATTTCCTGGGTCAGACAACAAGGCTAAACTTTGCCCACAACACAATCTGTTAATCCCCTCCAAACACAACCCACTGATTCACACACATGCAAAGGCAGGATCTAATTGCCATATTTGTTTGTCAGCAATTTTAATTGAAAAGAATCTGTGGTATTTCTTCCCAGTGAGAACAGTGCATAAGATTTTGGAGTGAGATCAAGCAGGAGTTAAACCCATGGAATGTGCAGCATGCCAGGCAATGTGAACGCGATGTGAACGCTACCTGAACGCAAACGACCCTTCACGCAATATAACATCAATCAAAGTTAGGACTACATCTTACCTCTTTCGATTCACCTTGCCCCATGGTTCGATGCACAGTAAATCCACAACCAAGTCTGAGGTACAGTGTTACCTAGTCGCTGACAAAGGTAAGTTTAAGCAAGCATACCAAGTCCAAGTGGGATATCTGAGACCAAGGCTCCGGTGTAGTATCAACACAGCGTGTCCCGGCCCCTCACCGTCTCACTGCTATTTGACAGTGACCAGTCGACCCACAACCCACCCCACCTCCACAAGACGATTCACAAATTTGTACCAACATGACTTCCACAAACTACTGTGACGGGTGCATCCCCACGCACAATGGATGGAGGGTAGACGAGTTTTAAATGGACACACTTGACTGATTCTCGACTATCTTGGCAATGTGTTTGACATTCAGATCCCACTCGAGTCAGGGGTTGCTTGTAAGGTTATGAAGTATGATCACAGAGGTTTGGTTCTCCCCACACAGGAGAAAGGGTGGACTTAATATCCCTGGCCAGACAATGGGACGAGCCAGTGAAGACATGCTTCACAAGTCATAATCTCAGTGATAATGTGACACACTTCAATACGCTCAAATGGGTTTTTGATCCTGAGACACATCACGACTACGTCTTAACTTGGGCATATATCATGGAACTTGAGAAATCAGGCTTAAAGGTAGGTGGAAGGGTGAGATGGGGTTTAACGTCGCGTTCAAGATTATTGCACTTATATAGCGATACCCACTCACACACAATATACTGACTCCAAGCCAATCCTTGGTTTAGACCTGTAACGCTGAGCGCCAGACAGGGTAACAACAAGCACCATCTTTTAACGTCTTTTGGTTTGACGCGGGCAGTGATCGAACAACGGACCTTAGAGCTGTCTCTAGGCAGACCCTCTACCACGGAGTCGGTCCTTAAAGGTAGGAAGAGGAATTGATAGTTATAACTGTTATATGATATACTGCATAATGCAGTGTTGGTATTGTGATACATAATCAATGATAATGCAGGGATGGTATTTGTTTTCATGTGTGCCATGGGGCACTCATTAAGAGATTCAGCTGTAGGTTTGAATACAAATGTGTCAACTCGAATACTTTTGATCCGTCTTCAAAATTGGTGAACCTGACATTTTACAATGAGTTTGATAACAAGCGGTTGTAATTTAGACAGGCTGGCCCTTTCTTTTCACTCAGATAGAAATCAACAGTTTTAGTCCACTTGTTCTTACAATAACATATAGCAAAAACCCTTCAAAATGGCAGATTTCTACTAGTCCTCATACCTTAGCTATTGGGCAATTTGGCAAGGACTTTAGGACTATTCTCAGCAACTACTGAAATTACATGGATGCTGTTTGCATGCTTATATAAGAGATACTTCTCAATGGGTGCCACAAATTATTTTTTCAGAGTTATGGCCCTTGCTCCATGCTTTTCAACTCAGTGCATAGTGTCTGCATTGGGGACCTTTCTCAGTACTACTGTTGTTACATGAACAATAATTTGCATGCTTATCAAAGAGATACTTGTCAAGAATGAGTTGGTGCCGTAAATTATATTGTTACAGAGTTACTTTCTTGCTACATGTTTTAAGATTTGGAACATACACAGTTACGGCCCTTGATCCATGTTATTTTGCACAGTACATAGTGTCTACAATGGGGACAAGTTTTCTCAAGACTGAGGTCAGGAATTGGTGCCATAAATGATTTTTTCCAGAGAAGGGGTCCCTTGTGTGTGTTCATTTCACATTTAATCATTTTTTCTGATGACATAAGGGGCGGTCGGGTAGCCTAGTGGTTAAAGCGTTCGCTCATCACGCCGAAGACCCGGGTTCGATTCCCAACATGGGTACAATGTGTGATGCCCATTTCTGGTGTCCCCCGCCGTGATATTGCTGGAATATTGCTAAAAGCGGTGTAAAACCATACTCACTCACTCTGATGACATAAAACGACCCTCGTGCCTATCTCTTCTTACTTTAAAGGACTCTTTTCTCATAGGTTAGGTTCACTACTATATTAATAAATTTCTTTATCATCCGAGGCGGGGGATAGTGATAATGCTGCTTTCAGGTTCCTTTCTTGTTCTAAGTTGGACACAACATAGGATGTGATGTTGAGTCCATAATTGTTCCAATAGCATTTGTTAATTTGATCTTATGAGAGCGGGTGTCGAACCAATGTATTTGGAGACCGAATTCATGAGTCAGTCATGATTAACGTCGATATCATGTTTAGAACATGACGGCTCAGGCAGTCTGCGACTTTAGACACTACTTTGAAGCTTAAGTCGAGTAAACATTCCGTCTATGAGGTGAAGGTGAGGTGAAATGGGGTTTAACGTCGCGTCCAAGATTATTGCACTTTCATAGCGATGTGCATGCACATGTGTGTGTGTCTGCTTGTACTAGTATGGTCTAATGCAGACTTTTATAGTGCTAGCCCATTGAGATACTGTGCCGCAGTTTAACATGAATACCCCATTCAGACACAGTATACTGACTCGAAGCCAACCAGTCCTAATGCCGAGCGCCAGACAGGGTAACAACAAGTACCATCTTTTAACATCTTTTGGTATGACACAGAGAGAAATCGAACCCTGGACCTTCCGCTCTCCGGGGGGATGCTCTACCACTAGACCACGAAGAAGGTCTTCCGTCTTTTCATCATAATCCTCCATATTTCATTACAAGTTTAAACTAAATCCAGAGAAAAATATAATGAAGAAAAAATTCAACAAAGTAGACAAATATTTTGGCAGGAGACGTGTTAGGAGATATTTAATCATGTTAATGTGTCAGCAAATTCTCAGCTAGTTCAAATAATGGTCATCTGAACTACATATTACAAACAAAGGGGATTTTTTAAAATATAATATTCTGAAGCATCAAAATGTAATATACATTCACAAACTAAATACAACTGAAACTTAAAAAAAGTTTGATCACAATCTATTTTTACATTTCCTTGTACAGAGGAAGTCCAAATTTCTCAATTGGATGATTACTATGTACATGATGTAGGCTGGACAATAAGCCCTATATTCTGAAAGTAAACACGGAAATGGAGTTGCTCCTGGTGAATTCTGAATCAATAAATAGTGCCCCATACCATGGAGATTTATCTATTAAATGGATAATTTGTTATCTTAGACATATTTTATCACAAAGGCTGTCTGAAGGACTCACCGACATGCTAACGTTCAGAAAAATAATGTGTTGTGAAAAAACTAAAAATCATTCTGCTCTTGCTTCCAAAAAACAGATTGTATATCTAAGTATAGAAATGGTAACAGAAAAAACATTCTATCTTCAACAGAATCCCGGGAACATTCCCCAGAATATTCAAAGGTTTGAATGTGGTGTGGTGCGATCGTGCATGCGTTCATGTGTTTAATAGCACTAAGACACCATGTCGCAGTTTAACATGAATACCCCACTCAGACAAAGTATAGTAACTTGACCAGTCTTGATTTATCCCTTAATGCCGAGCTCAAGGCAGGGTAATAACAAGCACCATCTGATAAAGTCTTTTGGTATGACGCGTCCGGGGATCGAACCACCAACCTCCCCCTGCCCAGGCTGATGCTCTAACCACTAGGCCACGGAGGCAGTACAAACCTAAGCTAGGAACAAACACCCCCCAGCTAATGTCTGTTGCAACATCCTTTGTGAATGATATCACGCTGTACCTACACGCATTTCTATCATCTTGTATTTCTCTAATCCCAGACAATCACTGACGCCTCTAACATCGCCCCTCCATACCTGGGGTCGTACGAAAGGTCACCAATGCTACATCAACACCTACATACTTAACAGTCACATTTGATATCCGAAAGCCATTAAACCGTTGTCCTTGCTTGCTATTTCCAGGTCTTGTCTGCGTCTGAGTGTGTAGTCCGAGTGGCACGGCATCAGTGGCCGTGATTGGTTCCCTGCGAGGTGGGTTTGTAATTAGAGTGTGATGACAATCAGAGCATCATTAGTTCTACAGCTACAGCTTATATGTTCGAGCGAATAAAAGACATTAATGTGTCTCAGTGACTCGCTGGTTCGTGGATTGTCTCGTTGCATGCGGAGAACAAGTTGTATTTTCCAAAAAATTCGTTCTAACAATGACAGAAACTAAATAAATTCCTCCAAGGTTTAAGATCGGGTCTTATTCTAGGAGATTGACTGATCATATAACAAAAAGCCCTAATTTTTTAAATTAAAATCTGGTAATGATATGGAGTGAGTGAGTGTGGTTTTACGCCACTTTTAGCAATATTCCAGCAATATCACGGCGGGGGACACCAGAAATGGGCTTCACATATTGTACCCATGTCGGGTAATGATATGGAAGAATGTCCAATCGTAATAAGATAAACTCAGGAAATGTCCGACAGCCATTTGTCTTGTAAACTGAATGAGTCCTACATGAGATGAAGCAGGGTTCACTCTAGGAATTTTCTGACATGGGTCCTTAATGTGGAAATTTCAAATATTCCAGACATACGCCCATACAGCCCAATGTTAAAATGCCCCATTGTATTTGAAAATGTGGGCCTTTTTTCAAATGTAGGGGCTAAAAGCACAAGACCACACCGTAGAAATATCCCTGATGTAGTGCTGAATCAGCTACCCCGAAGCACCCTGTGTGATTAAAACAATGTTCATTGCCCACCCAGCGTATACTGCTGATGTCACTACAAATAATGCTCATTGACCAACTCTGCCGTGAGTCAGTTGGGCTTAATGCCGCCTTGAACAGCTTCTCAGTAATATCATGGCTAGCTAGCTTCAAATGTAGAGGAATGCCTGTGTGATGCATGTCTCAGACATTTACCATTGGGTTGACAAACCAATAAACAAAATCAAGACAAAAATGAGATTCAAACCCAAAATAAGTTTCTGTCAAACCTAAGGGTTGCAAACTGTGCACGCTGGGCCACCAGTGACCAGGTGTGGAATATCATGAGGAAGGCTGCATGTTTTCCCTCGAACATTCCAGCCACTGTAAGACTACACCCTGGTTAATTCAAAACCTGATTTACGAGGTCAAGCGGTCTGTGACATGCAACACTGGCAAGCCGACTATCCCAGGCGGCCAACCTGATCAAACATGCCAGCGCCTGTCTCATGTCAGCTGTTCAACCAGCTTCAACAAGCATCGGACACAGACCACAGGGTCTTACCTCATGCACAATATTTCATCCTATATACGCATATAGACTGAGAATGGATGCAAATAATTGAGACTGCTATTCCTGTGGATGCAAAAAAGTATGGCTGTTTTAATCATTAAATTTATCAAAATTGTAAATCGCATGGTACATGTAACCATGGTAACTGACATTTGTATTCTGGTATGAAAGAGTAAGTTCAGAGTGTCAGTTGTTGATCTTCATTTCAACAATGAAATCCCTTATCTAGGGACAGGTTATTTATTATGTCATGATAATATTGGGTCATGAAAAAATTGCACAGCGGAAGAGGGCGGTCACAAATATTTATCCTGACATAAATTTATTTTAAAAGATAGAACTATATCATACATGTGAAACTTATTTGCAGCATGAATATTTTTTTACATAAAATGGGGGCATGTGTCAGCGAAATATGTTACAGTCTTAAGACCAATCCCTCACGACAAGCATAGTCGCCTTTTACGGCAAGCATGTAGTGTTAGAAATTGGCACTGGTCCTGTAGTCCTTGCCAAAGTGCCCAACAGTTAAGGTATCATAAGGACTAATAGAAATTTTCCATTTTTAAGGGGTTTGCTGAATGTTATCATTATAAGGACACTAGTAGACCAAAAATGTTAGTTTCTACCGCTGGCATGGGTTGCTGAAGACCTATTCTACCTCGGATCTTCACGGGTCCTGTGTGGCAGCTAATAAGTTCACCGAGGGCAAAAGAATGCACAGAAACCAATTATATATTTTCTGTTGAATCGTCTCACAAAATCAAATAGATCTTAAATATATCTCAGAAAAGGATAAATACCATAAACCCAAACAATCAGACATGTCAGCCATATTTATGTAACCCCTTCTTTTTTTCAGCTGGACAGCTACATAAAATAATCCAGATCTCAAAATACGTATCTCAGAAAAAGTAAAATATTTCAAGTAGAGGCCTGCGGACATTTTAAGCCATGTTTAAGTTGCCTGCATGTTTACCTGCAGAATCCTGCACCTGCAGACGGTGACCCAGTGTGGAGGCCACCAGACCTGCTGGTGATGGCGACCTCATTGCATGGAGATGTCCCAGGCCTGTTGACTGACCATCAACACAGCAGCATTCCTCTGGCTTAACAGGTAATCTTCTGGCAAAGGCACTCCCGCTTGACAAAACTGACTTCCATTGTCAGATACACCCATATGTCACAACAGGATTTCACTGGAAACCATGTTTACTGAAACCGTTATAGAGTTTACTCCATATAATGATATTCCGGACATTATATGATTGTCAATAACTTTTGGGATACACATTGGACACTTCATATTGCACTTGTGAAGATCTGGGCTAGAGTAGGTCTTCAGCAACCCATCCTTGCCCTAAAAGGCGACTATACTTGTGATGAGGGCAACTAACAGGATCGGGACCAGACAATCGAGTGATTGACATCACGAGCATCAAACTATGCAATTGGGATACGATGACATGCATCAACCAAGTTAGCAAGCCTGACCCCCGATCCCATTAGTCGCCTCTTACGCCAAACACCTGTACCTAAGTGGATGAGAATGCATCTTACTGGATATATTCTACAATGTTGCTAAGGTATGTGTACGAGCTCCCTCATTAATAGGCTTTCAGACAGCACTACATGATTGATGTCACTGATGAGAAATTCAAATTTTGTAAAAGTTTGATGTTGATGTCAAATTTCCATATTTTAATATTCATTACTTTAGGTATAATCATATTAAACCACACAAATACAAGCAGTCATTTTGTTCTGTTTATTTTTTTTCTTTATCGCTCGAATTTTCAAAAGGTAATGTTGTCCAATACAGTTTTAGTATCAGCATCAAACAAACTTTGCACATAGCATTGGTGTCCAGAAAAATGCATCTGTAGCCCCATGAAATACTCAGGAAGATGACCTGCCTTCTAAACTGCCACTCAATGTACAGTGTCACACAGTGTAGGCATCAGCAAATCACTGCCTCAATGTACAGGGTTACACAGTGTAGGCATCAGCAAATCACTGCCACTTAATGTACAGTGTTACACAGTGTAGGCATCAACAAATCACAGCCACTCAATGTACAGGGTTACACAGTGTAGGCATCAGCAAATCACTGCCACTTAATGTACAGTGTTACACAGTGTAGGCATCAACAAATCACAGCCACTCAATGTACAGTGTTACACAGTGTAGGCATCAGCAAATCACTGCCACTTAATGTACAGTGTTACACAGTGTAGGCATCAGCAAATCACTGCCACAATGTACAGTGTTACACAGTGTAGGCATAAGCAAATCACTGCCACTCAATGTACAGTGTTACACAGTGTAGGCATCAGCAAATCACTGCCACTTAATGTACAGTGTTACACAGTGTAGGCATCAACAAATCACAGCCACTCAATGTACAGTGTTACACAGTGTAGGCATCAGCAAATCACTGCCACTTAATGTACAGTGTTACACAGTGTAGGCATCAGCAAATCACTGCCACAATGTACAGTGTTACACAGTGTAGGCATAAGCAAATCACTGCCACTCAATGTACAGTGTTACACAGTGTAGGCATCAGCAAATCACTGCCACTTAATGTACAGTGTTACACAGTGTAGGCATCAACAAATCACAGCCACTCAATGTACAGTGTTACACAGTGTAGGCATCAGCAAATCACTGCCACTTAATGTACAGTGTTACACAGTGTAGGCATCAGCAAATCACTGCCACAATGTACAGTAAGCCAGGTTATAACGAACTCAAATGAACCAGTAATTTTAGAACGTTATAACCGTAGTTCGTTAAAAGCATATATACAACACCTATACAGCAAATGGCCAGGACCAAAAATTAAGTTCGTAAAACTCCATCAGTTCCTTATTAGCGTGTTTGTCATAAACATATTTTACTGTACTTACCAAAGACCTATCCCGTCTCAATAGCGTCCCTGGGAAAGAACAGTCAGACAATATATCACCTTTTATAATGTAAAATCCCAGAAACACCAACTTACGAACACTTGCTGTTCAAAAACATCAATAAGAAAATCATGACATGAGTCCATGACGTCGTCAAGTCATATTTTCAATCAGTTTTGCAACTCTGGCAGATTTAATGCAGAAATATTGTACGGGAAAGTACACACACACACAAGTTTACATAGCCTGGCCCTCGCCATTGATTATATATATAGTCACTTAGCTCGGTACAACAACAACTCAAATGTGAGGACTGTGTTTGTGCAAAGTGATTTGATCTTAATGCAATTGGGCTATTTATATCTCGGTCAAGTTGATACATAATTCTCCAAGAGTGAAACTGATTAATAATGTTATATATCTTCAGCTCTTTTCACGTTTTGACCTACTTAGTGAGTACCGAAATAGATGTCTTCCTTGAATTTGTTTGTTTGGACAGAATTGAGTTCCTGTTGGCATTTAACTATTAAACTGATGAGTACTCCTTTAATGAAATAGGTTCTCCTCAAAGTCCTGTGTTCCCACAAGAGGGTCACATAATCTCACAAAATCAACATAAATGTCAAAATGAAAATAAGCGAGACGTAACTTTTTTTTAAATCATTCACTGCAGTAGTGTTCATGTTTATATGATGCCTCTATTCAATCAGTATATAAAGATCTACATCACAAGACATATAGGTACTCAAACTGAAAAAGTTCCATTTAGTTAATTACGTACATATCGGGGCTATTTAATTTTTTTCAACCATATTTCAATGCAAGCAACTGAAAAGTGATTAATAATATTGCTTATTATATATTGTGCATTTTGGGGAAATTGCATTGAACCTCATTTTGGTCACTGAAATGTCATGTACATGTCTGGCAAAAAACTTTTGGAAAGCTTCACTATGGCCTGAAACGTTGTAACCCTGATCAAACAGCTTTAAGCAAGAGTTGTGTGACACAAAATATAGACATAAGAGTGAGTGAGTGAGTGAGTGAGTGAGTGAGTATGGTTTTACGCTGCTTTTAGCAATATTCCAGCAATATCCCGGCGGGGGTCACCATAAATGGGCTTTACACATTGTACCCATGTCGGGAATCGAACCCGGGTTTTCGGCATGACGAGCGAACGCTTTAACCACTAGGCTACCCGACCGCCCCTATAGACATAAGAAGCAGAGATAGAATTTACAAGATACGAAGATGTCAACTCTTCCCCTAAACTGAGATGTATTGTGTATTTTGTAGGGCTGTTTCGATTCACTTGTGTATTCGCTGAATCAAACTGTATCCCTTCATCAACTGAATTCATTTTTCGCGGTCACTAGAATAGAATAGAGTGTTTTTTACTTGTGCTTGTCTTAGGTTTTAGATTTCTTAAAAAAGACAACTCTCTTTTCATTTAATTAGACAGTAATGTGGTCACTGGTCAGATACTACCTGTTTAAGTCTGGTATATAAATGTATAATATAATAATAATAATTAACACTGTCAACATAGTCTTATAGATTGCCTTGAACTATTTTATTTAAGTAAATCTATAAGACTATGTAGACATATATTCTGTCTTATTCGATATTATGTCTGGGAGATGGGATCTTGATACCTTAGGCTAGTATTTATCTAAAAGCCTTAATCTATTCTTGTTACCTTAGACTAGCATCTATCATAAAAGCTATAACTGAAACTACTGATATTTCATATATATATGCATCTTACCTGATGATATGTATTACTTGCTAAACTATAATTATATAGCGTATGTATAAATATTACACCATCATAACTCATGGAAGCACTTGATGTGGATCTAATTATTATAGGAAAACTTAGTATAAATGTTATATCATGATAATAGTCAAATAATTGATGTTTCACTGAATACAATAAATAATACATCAACTGCTGGCTTTTTATTGAATTCATGAATAAATATTCATATTAGTTACCCAATATTCATAAGAGACATCGTATTCGCCTCAAAGTGTATTCGTTGCAGCCCTTGTGTTTTGAAAGACTAAAGAGTAACAAGTGTCACCAGTGAGTTGTACAGCATTTCATGAGATAAATAGGCTTGTAGCTCACAAAATCAGAGTGAGTGAGTATGGTTTTAAGCCGCTTTTAGCAATATTCCAGCAATATCACGGCGGGGGATACCAGAAATGGGCTTCACACATTGTACCCATGTCGGGAATCGAACCCGGGTCTTCGGCGTGACGAGCGAACGCTTTAACCACTAGGCTACACGACCGCCCCCACAAAATCAGAGGTCAAGCGGCATACACAAACATACTATATGCCTTGTACACCTTGCTGCTGACACAGCAGAGCTCCAGATAAGCTGCGTATCTGCGTAAAATATGCATCAGAAATGCAGAAATACGCAGTAAAATAAAATCCAAGCGTATCAAATACACAACGAACATTACAGATACAAAAATAAAACTTGTGCGTATCATCAAAATATTGTGAAGTAACCCTGTGTATTCGATTAGCAAATCAGCAACTTCTTTTGAAATTATGAACGGGCATTCCGTCAACCTTGCCAAACTCCACGATGACAGTTACATCATGATCATTTGCCATCACACTTTATTGTGGAAGTATCGTGGTATTTTAGAGTCCTATAAAGCTCTTGAACCTACACGACACCAGTTTGCAGGGACTAGATGAATAGTGTGTTTAAATATTTAACTTAAATACCCACATGTGTAAAAAGTAGTGGGTAACAGAAATTTGAATACCCAGATAGAATTACTGATACCCAATGATTTTAAAATGCATGGGTAAAATACCCACAACACCAAAAGCTTATCTGGAGCTCTGCACAGGTCACAAATTTATCATAACTGGTTACGAAAAGTTATTTCAGGGATGTATTTGTGTGTGATCGATCTTGTTCCCACAATGACTCTCAGTACGTTATTTTGTAGCATGAACAGGGTCAACTTTGACGTGATCATGACCTGCAAGTGACGTCACAGCAGATATTGTGTCGTCACGATATGCATACAGGCTGCCCTCCAACTTGTATTGGTTTTTACAATATGGAGACTGGCCAATCAGATTCCTAGGTTTTATGAGAAACGATAACATGTCACCATCTGTGTGTCACAAATCAATGTATAGATATTATGTGGTATGTTACAGTTGACACATAGCTGCATTACTCGCTCAGGGACAGTCCTAGCAGCGTGTTGAGTGATCAAGTTCATCACTTGCACGATCAATCATATCACAGACGATTATCTTTTATGACATCTGTAACATTTACAAAGACATATTTCATAAGAATCTGAAATTTCAACAGATTGATTTGAGCTGGGAAGATGAATTTATGATGCACAGCTTTGACCTCATTTGATCAACAGATTTTGATCCAGTTGAGAACTCGGATTCTTTAGCTACTCCAAATGCTGAGTCAAGTAAAATTTCGTTCTTTCTGGTAAGCAGAGACGATAACAGCCCAGACATTAGGTAAAAACCTTCAAAATGTTGCCAATAAGTGATGACACTTTTGCACTTACTGGTTGAGAAATCTATTTCAAACTAACTGAAAACCCAACCTGAAGTAACCATGGTTACAGTGTAACTAGAAATAGACTGTACTTTATTTCAATTTGTAGTTTTTTGGGTTTTTTAAATCGTGACAATTGAAACAACTGGATCATGAGGACGTTCTGAAAATAAAATGTACTGTATTCCCAGGTTTACTGGGTATTGTCATGGAACTGACGTTAAGGTTACCGTTTTTTGACAAATGAATACATTGCAAGTGATTCTGTGACATTTGATTGACAAACTAAGCATTTTTATGGTTGTGTTTATGTTTCCATAAGACCCCCCCCAAAAATGTTTTCTTAAAATTAGGCCATGAAAACAAATTGAAAACTGTTTCTTGATTGGTTGATAAAGAATGGGCAGGGCTTGCGATGCATTATTGTGCTGAACAATGTCACTGACTTCATATTGTTGTGGACAGGCTTGTTTTTGTTTTAATGGTTAAATTAGCAGTCTGCCAAGATATTATTTCATGTTATTATTTACAAGAATTACAAGAATTGACTTCAACATATTTTTTGCATTTATTGATTCATAAACGTAACAACCGGAGTGCACTCTTTGCATAAATCCGTTATGTTGATTTACATAGTATGCACATCCTAATTTTATGTTTATACAGCCATCAACGCAAAATATATTGAAGTCGATTCATAATTAATTATCTGGTGTGACATTCATAATGATATAAACAAACTTGGGATTTAGAACTCTTCAAAATATGCACCCTTTCATCTTCAGAACTCTAAAATCATTAGTGAAACAAAGCAAGATGTATCCCTGATGTGACTATATCAGTTCATACATTCAATAAACAGTCGGAATAACTCTTATGATATCAGGGCAAACTGATCGTGAGCCATTCATTCACCAACCGTTGATCAGCATGGAAGAAAAACACGAGGGGTGGCAGAGTTATGCCCCCTTAGTGAAAAAACAATGGTAGACAAGCACTTTTTTATCATGCCATTTTTCAGCATGTCAGTCTGTCAAGAATGAGTCACAGGAAGAAAGTATTTATTATGTATCCACGAAGGTTGAAAGAACCATAAACATGATGCAAGGTTGGCAAAAGATCTATGAAAACATTCTTCAGAATAATCTAAGACAGAGAGAATTTATGTGAGTTTTTATCGTAAGAATAGTTCAAGCAGGTATTGATATCTTGGAAAGAAAACATAAATGCCTCTTACTTCCAGAAAATGTTGGCGTTGCTCCAATAACGAGATCAATAAATCAGGGATGGTCAGATAGTTTGAAGATGATATTGTTTTTCATGTATATCTACTAAAAACAGGGCTTTTCATAGTCATACTTGATAAAACCATAAAAAAATATTCTGAGCACCATTACCACTGTAACAGTATAAAAATCACTTCTTTTAACTGGCATTGACTTAATATGTGAGTGGGGCGATCGGGTAGCCTAGTGGTTAAGCATTCGCTCGTCATGCCGAAGACACGGGTTCGATTCCCGACATGGATACAATGTGTGAAGCCCATTTCTGAGGTCCCCTGCCATGATATTGCTGGAATATTGCTAAAAAACAGCGTAAAACCAAACTCACTCACTCACTCACTCACTCACTATGTCAGTAGACAATCATGAAAGTTTCAAAGTTAGAAAGTTGTTATATTTTTCAAAATTTGAAAACAGCAATTGAATATTAAATACTCCTGAATTTAACAAAACAATCTTTCATTAAGCGCCTCTGAAGAAAATATCAATAAATATGATAATAAAACTTCTAAATGCTAATTTTACTCTACTTTGCAACCTAAAACACATAACCATGTGAGGCAGTGAAACGTCTGTTTTCAGATTTACACTCAACTTTATTATCCCAACATAAAAATTGATTTTAACAAAGATCAATGGAAAATATTGATCACAGATTTGCTGATAGATTCCTAAGTTGCAACCAATACTCGATGAAATTAGCTGGAACAGAAGCGATAGTCGTCGATCACAATCACTACCCCATTGAACGTGTTTATCTAATTTTACCCGCTAATTCAATTACTTGTACCCACACCACTCTTTCCTTAATTTCCAAACATTACTATGGCAACAACTTTGCCAGCTGGTTTCACTTTAGCCACCAGGTATCCCCACACAAGAGTAAACCTGGAGTGAGTGGGTGCCTGATTAATACACTCGGATGCCGTAATAATCACTTGGCCTACACCCACTAATCAATATTATCAGAACACATCTCGTACAACAATGAGGAGGTAAACAAAAGCTGGCAACGTGAAGATGATGTGTTACATAGGCAAGTAAATACACCAGCGAGATGATCAATTGATCTTTTGTGTTGACACTGTATGAATGACTCATTCCTAGGCAATTCATCACTGACGATGATGATTAAGCCACTGACATTTATAAGCTCAATTGTATCCTATTTCCTTGTTAAAAATTAAAATTAAGACTTTCCATGTTTGAAATATGAAAATCATATTTCGAGGGTAAAAATATTCAGTTTCAACATGTGCAAAAAAGTTCAGTTTTCTTGTTTCTTTGTTAAATCTGAATTTTAAATGATTTTCTTTTCAGGGCTGAAATGATTCCTCTTGAATATCCTGGCCAGTTTCATGGAGCCTGCTTTAAAACTGAAACCAAGATGTACACCAGCATATTTACAGCTGGTGAACATTAATTCAGCAGGAAGTGAGAACCCAATCTCAGCTATCACTGACAGTTGAAACCCTGTCAGAAGATCGAGCAATCCATGGCCAGTAAATAGAACAATACAACAGAACCAGAAGGGCAGCGGTGATAGTGACCTGCCCCCCTCCCCCACGGCCCCAGGGCCTGACTCTCCCTGAGAGTATAACAATGCACTGGTTACCTGACAAGCATTACCCCAACCAGATCACCACATGGTAAAATCTGACGAGCTCTGTCCATGTTTGTAAACATTCCCTCATAATGTTTCCTGAACATATTATTGGTCAGTTTTGAGGGAAAATAGCTAAAAAGTGGGTAGGAATGTATCTGACTTACCTAAAGTGTAAAACAACGCCTCAATCCTGAGTTAAAACAATTACAAACACTTCTAACTTCTTTATCACAGCTTTCTGTTAGCAAGGTCAAGGGCATTAACTAGGGGAGGTAACTCTTCCTACCCTACTCCCCCACATGTCAATAATGCTCCCAAGAGTAGCCATGGTGAAGATGAGGTAAAAGCTCAATTGGAAGGAGTTATAAAACTGTCACCCGGGCAAGGTAGCTCATTATACTGTATCTCAGTGTAATTAAAAGGAAATAAATATTTTTCAGTGAAACTGTAGGCCGATGTGATGTAGATCTAAATTGCAAATTCATTATGTATATATGTTTCCACAACAGAAGAGGATAGGTTCTTTCAAAGAAAAAAATAATTATTATTTTAAAGACATGTTTTCACTGTCTAAGTGTTAGTATATATAGTATTTTACAATAAAAAATGATATATACTTCTAGCCAAAACTTTCCATGTTGTAATTAAAATTGGATTCAAAATATTTGAAATTAAATCTGTTAATATTATAACGAAACCTGTTAAACCAGACTGTTAGCCAGCAAACCCTGCATTCTTGACTGTTCCCTAAAGAACATAAAACCATAGCAGATCGCTTGTTTTTTAAAAGGGTGTCATTTGAAGGACAAATGCAAAAGTAACTAAACATGTTTTCAGTCGAAGCATGTAACTAAAAACACATTCAAAGTGACCCACAGATTTTCAAATGTCAAAAATATACAATTGTTTCCAAAATTTCCAATTTTGGTGTGTTCTTTTTTCGCACAAGTTAAAGTGACATGCCCGTTTTTTATACCATTATATCATCAGGGCTCAATTAAAGAACTTGATTTAACTTGCACTAGATGCATTCTGACATGAAAAGCTCCAGACAGAACCAGGTTGCACCCAGGTCCCATAAATTTATCAAAGTTCAAAAACAGGCCGGTCTGCTGCCAGTGTCACATAATTTAACGACGGATTGCTGTAAAATTCATAGGGACACGTAACCTTGAAGTACTCACAGCTTGATGACGTGAAGCCAAAGAAAGCATGACAAATTACACACAACACAGAGTTTAGTGATGTATTATGGTAAATATACTTTGGAAGTATTAAGTGTGTTCAAAGACTGATTTTGTGGGGACAAGTTAAGATTTGTCATACAGAATTTAAATTTTTTTTTTTTACAAGCACTTGGTGCATGTAGACATAAATATTTGGTTGCATTTTTCAACAATAGGTTGAACTTGTGCTTGTTTTATAAACCGGGCCCTGTAGCGCTGATTTAGAACAGTTTAAAAAAAAAAGAAACTTTGAGGCTTTACTTTAAAATCTGACACCAATACACATTAAAATGTTCACATGTCTTGACAACTGGCTTGTTGTGCACACAGAATATTGATCCATGTGAAAAGTCTCAGACATTTACCACTTCAGGTGTACCACGGGTATGGTGCTGACAAACCTAGAAACATCATCTGGGCGAAACGGGATTCGAACCCACAATCATAGGTTTCTGTCGTGCCCAAGGGACGCAACTCTGCACAGCGAATCGCGGCTCCTTAGACGACTGGGACACCTGTGCCCCCTAACTTATCTATGAGAATATACAGAGGATATTATATTCCTGTTCATGTCATACTATGTTTACAACACGGGTGTCTAAATTCTGGTATTTCCCGAGCGAAATAGGCACGAGTGTCATAAACATAGTATGACATGAACACGAATATATAATGTTCTATATATTACCGAAGAAGATGTCTACAGACTGAGAAGAATTTTAGAGTTTACCTATAAAGACAGCAAGTCGCAACAGCAGGGGAACCACAATTTGTCGAATGACGTCAGCAACCTTCACCTTTGATGTCGTTTCTAATGTGACGTCATTCCGACCTCACGTCACAATAGGATTCGAATGACGTCAACAATGCCGTTCGAATGACAGAAACAATACACTGTTGTCTTGTGACGTGATATGACCCAAGGGCACATATAATTTTTATTAACTCCGATATATTTGCCCTCGTAGGTAATAAATCAATATATTCTCAAATTAGGAGGCACATATACTTTAATCACAATCTGTTGTCACTTTGTCAGTTCAGTGCAGTGTTAGAAATTGGCTCTAGTCCTGTTGTCTTTGCCAAAATGCCAAATAGTTAAGGTATTATAAGAAAATTTGCCATTTTTTAGGGTTTTGCTATATGTTATCAGTATAAGTACTAGTTAGTTTCTACTACTGTCAGTGTCACATTTTTATCAAAAGGATTATCCTTTCATCTCATATGTTAGTTACACTTCAATTAATCAGATTCGAGCATGTCAAAGTGTTTGTTTGTTCATTGTTAAATACTGCACTCAGCAATATTCCAGCTATAGGACGGCGGTCTGTAAATAATTCGAGTCTGGACCAGACAATCCAGTGATTGACATCATGAGCATCAATCCACACACTTGGGATACGATGACATGCATCAACCAAGCCAGTGAGCCTGACCACCCGATCCCGTTAGTCGACTCTTATGACAAGCAGTTGCCTTTTACAGCAAGCATGGGTTGCTGAAGACCTATTCTCTACAGGATCTTCAAGCGTAAAGGTCTAAATTTAAAACATCGTGAAAAACGGAACATACATGTTTAGCCCCACAACTAATTACACATGTACCAAATTATCCGTGGCAGCCATATTGAAAATCCTATTTGAACGTCTTGAACAAATTCGGGTGTCATCATTGGTCGGAAGAAGCATATGAAGCTTCAGCTTCATTGGTCCAGTGGTTTCTGGGGACGCATGATAAACGTGGACAAACAGGCCATGACATAAGCTCACTTGACTAACCACACACTAATTACGAACAGAGGATGGTAAATTGATCACTTGACCCCCAACCGGTAAGAGATGAAAAGTGCTAATGGACTTGTTACAGGAGCGGACAGATCGAGGTCAGTGATGCAGGGAAACCGACCGATCGAGGTCAGTGATGCAGGTATACAGCTAATCTGATGCTAGTACTGCTCCCATTGATAGTTAGGGGTCTTGTTAAAGGTTCATTGAAGCTGAAAATCAAAGCTACTTTAGTGTCTATTCTGACCAACCCATTTAAGATTTTTTACCTCACCAGTTAATTTGATCCCAAACATTGTGGCAAAATTAGTGTGGATGAGATGTTTCCGCTCGAGGAACACCTCAAGGAACGCTTGGTCTCAGATCACATATATTTTTGAAAGAAACAAACAGCTACAATTAAATTGAAAAGGAGCACCAGTGAGAGATGCCTGAACCCATGGAAAATCTAGACTTGCTTCATTTAGGGTTATAGCATTACCACAAGGGCTTGGCAGAGGGATAAATATTGTGGTTCAGGGACTGAGACAGACTGTGTCAAAATCCTGAGGACTAAGCTATATATGTCAAGTTGACTTTACCTCAGGATGAACGTGCAACTACTTAAAGACCAAAGTTACAAAGCAGGTTTTGCCATACAACTGCAGTGTCTTGAGTGAATATTGAGTTTGTGTGTAGTCAGGTATGGAACGTGTGGGAGTTTGGTGCAATGCAACAAGAGTGAATCAAGAACAGGTGTGATGCAGACACACTTACAAACACTACCAGGGCAACGTGGGATTCCAGACGGACACACACACTCCCCGAAATATAGTCACGTCCAAGGTTCAATGTTCCCGCTGGCTTTTGAAACTGCCATTCCCCCCTAATTTTTGTCAGTCCCAACTTCGACAAATCAAAATATGTATGAAAATTACCTCGTTTTAATTCTTTCAAAATCATGTTCAGTGCAATGACTGAAGTTACTTAGTTAAATCTACACATCATTCACACAAAGTTCAGTCACAATTTTCTTTCGTTATTGAATATTTCTAGACGAAGTCACTACAAATATATTTTTAACCTTGAAGAATAGTGAAATGTTATTTCCTTGCACTAAAAATCGACAGGGGAAACCCGCAACAGACAAGATGACTTTGTTAAAAAGAGATACTTATAAATATATCGCCAATGTTTTGTTCAACAACAAAGATTTATAATGTACTCTATTTGCCAGCCCACAGGGACTGGCAGTCACATAAATTACCAGTCCAAGTTTAATTTTACCGTAAAAAAACGAAAACAGGAACACTAAAGGTTACATGAAATCATTCATAGGCGGACCCTAACTGGGCCTCCTGTGCATGGACCAAGTCAGGTATGGTGCAGCAGTGATTTGGAGAAGAAGAAGAAGCAGAAGATGAAGAAGAAGAAGCAGAAGATGAAGAAGAAGCAGAAGAAGAAGATGAAGAAGGAGAAGCAGAAGAAGAAGATGAAGAAGGAGAAGAAGACGAAGAAGGAGAAGAAGAAGAAGATGAAGAAGGAGAAGCAGAAGAAGACGAAGAAGGAGAAGCAGAAGAAGAAGACGAAGAAGGAGAAGACGAAGAAGATGAAGAAGCAGAAGATGAAGAAGAAGATGAAGAAGCAGAAGAAGAAGAAGACATAAAGCACAAACACAACCAGTTATTACACAACATTTTTTATCGATAGCAACATCTTTTATTCTTTGTCACAACGTTTTAGAGGTACTTTTTGCTCTTTCATCAGGTGGCAGGATAGAAAAGGTCTATCGGTCACTCAGTCAGCAATATTCCACTAAGATCAAGTGAGTATGGTTTTACAAATCTAGTAATATTCCAGCAATATCTTGGCGGGGGACACCAGAAATGGGCTTCACACATTACACCCATGTGGGGAATCCATAACACGCCATACCTCTCTCAACCGTTACCCTAAAACTAACCGCCCCCACCTACGTCACACCATTACATCACAATCTCTTCCAATCTATATACATGCACAGCACAGAATGTAACGAATGCATGGAAACAAACAAACATCGAGCGTCAAACTAACTCGGAAGTGATATTCACACTCCGGCGCAATGGTGACTAAGAATAACACCACTGCCACAGGCTAATTTGCATATCGCGTGACCGGACTTTCTCTTGTTTATCAACA